CACACTAACTGAAAATTGAAGCTATATCATGAGATGCAACACAACACCTACTGAGGTTGAAATCAAAGAAAAGTACCAAAAATGTGTTCAAAAATAATTCAGTTTGCATTGGAGTGTTACATTTCACATTTGTGCAAATTTTATTTAAGTATTGACCTAGGCTGATCACCTTGTCTATGAAACTATTAGTTCTTAAGTCATTATTACATTGACATTGAAATTTAAGAAAAGAAGAAATGTCATGTGTGATGCTCATGATAATGGCTATGATTTAAATGTCAGTATGACAAGACAGAAAGATTCCATGACAGCTGATCTTACATTATTGAAATCAGGGAATACTGGAATGGCACATGTTCGCCCAAAACTTACTACTCCTTCCTCAGGTATCTTGATGGAGATTCATCGGTTTAGTCGAAGCTCCACTTGGTAGGAGTTCTTTGAACAGTGTTCGAATTATTTTGATTGTCCTTCTTGGGTGTAGTTTGAGACTGGATTTTTTGAACAATCTCCAGTTTGGCGGGACTGGCATCTAGAAATAAGTAGAAATTAAACACAAGTAGTAAGGTAGTTGAGCAAGGTTGACATTGATACTGTGAGATGAAATGTTCAAAATGATTTAAAATTTTCTTACTTTGAGTATGGCGCAGAAGATCCACCTCATGCCCCATAGACACTTTTCCATGATATACAACTTTGGGGTTAAGCTTGTTTGCAATCAGTTTATTCATTGTTTAGATCCATCGTAAAGTCTTGTTGTTGAATTTGCGGGGTAAGATGCTCTGAAATTTGAGTCCCTCTTCACGATATTGCACGAGGGTATTCATTGCATATAACCCATCCACATCCTTATACTGACTTCTCATTTGAAGGAAATGCGTGATGACGTATTCCTTTGCTGGGGTGAGAGTTTCGATTGGCCTTGCCCTTGCAAAGTCGTCATTCTCGATCTCGGCGAAGGGATCATATTCCTCATCAGCCTAGAAAGAAAAAGACCAATTGTGAATAGTAACTTGGTGGATGTTTGGTGCATTGATTCTGAGTTTTGGGGATTCTATGTTGAGTTTTTGGGATGGACAGTTTTAATGATGGATTACATCTGAGGAAAGAATTAATTTGTAAATGACGGCAAGATATACAATGTCACAGCAATGGAAAAAGTGATAGTCAATGAAACATTAGAGGGCAATGAATGAGTGCATGGTGGGTGTGCAATGTAAGAAAGGTTATGTTCGAGAAAATGTGGGATCAAAACAAAAAAAAAAAAAAAAATATCAACGGCCACTGAATAAGATAGGTTTTAACTCCGCAAGGAATGGGATGAACACAAGAAATAGCTCGTGGAACATTGCAAGCATTTCATGAATGAGCCGAAGCAAGGGTGATGGGGTATGAATGGTGTAGTGGAGTGACACAAATATAACGGTAGGAGAAGCTGTCACAATAATTTAATGAAAGACTTACCATTTTGATACGTGTGGATCAGAAGATTGAAGTAATGAACAAAGATGAATTGACGGCAAACGTCGTTGGATCCGTTGCACAGGTGGTCGGCCTTTGTCCCTTTGTCCGTCTTTGTGTGGTAGGATAGGAAGTAGCAGAGTAAGTGTGAAGAAGCTGTTTCCGGCGTCCGCTTGTGTTGTATCCAGTCACAAATTTCGATGTATGAGAAATTTTGTGTGTGGCGGGTAAAACAAATTGTGTTTGTTTCGGTGGGTTAGATGGATATCTTAGATGATAGTGAAGGAAGTAATCAATGAAATGTTGGCATGATGTTTAAAATGTCTAGTAATGAAGATTGGTCGGGAGAAGTGTCCTAGATTTGAATTTATAGTTTGTTTTAGCGATTATGATGCAGCTTGTATAATAGTAGTATTTCAATGATTACTTACAGTGTGTCATGCACGCTTATAGCATGAAATTTTTTTCTTTCAATGATGCCAACCATTGTTGTTTCTTCTGCATACACAGCCAAAGATGTCCAGCGTATAAAAAGAATAATTCGTTTGTTGAGTTTTGATTACGAAGAAGACAGCAAAGGTACCTGGCAAAAGGATGGTTCAAAGCGAGCTGTCACTCCAACGGGCCGAAGGCCCGTTTTCGGATACAAGATGTATTACACCATTAAAATTCAGAAGGGACGGGCCTCCCAAACGCTGCCGGCAGGCCAGGCTTAGCCCGGGCCAAAATTGGGGTCCGGAAAATTACTCTGTAAGTGGACCTGTCACTTGTAACTTATATGTTTAAAATCAAGCACAACCTTGTAAATACAACCCTAACAACAATAACAAACAAACAAATACATAATCATAATACAAGATCTGCAAACAAAATTCA